AACATCAAAGTATATTTTTATCTAAAAAATTAAGTCTTCCAATTCATGAACATAAACATATTTCCATTTATTAGTATTTTAAATTTCTTTCAAGTGTGTTGTAGTTTTCAAATATCAAGTCTTGCACTTTCTTAGTTAAATTTGCTCCCCAGTATTGTATTCCTTTTGATGCTATTGTACATAAAATAGTGTTCTCAATTTCATTTTCAGATTGTTCATTGACAATGTATAGATATATAACTGATTTGCATATATTGACCTTGTATCCTGAAACATTACTGAACTCGTTTATTAGCTCTAATTACACTTTTGCATGTGTGTGTATAGAGTGAGGCAATGTTTAAAAAAAAACAACAATTTTGCAATTAGCATTGTAGATAATGGTGCCAGAATGAATGCTATATATCTAAGATCCAAAATAAAACAAACATTTCCACTATCATCAGATTTATTCAAAACGATTATCGGTGGCTTTCTTAGTAGTAACTTGCAGGCCAGAAGGCAAAATGATAATATATTTAAAATGGTGAATGAAGAAAACCATATCAGTGTGAATTCTTTGCCCAACAAGTGTCCTTCAAATATGAGGGAAAAATTAAAACATTCTGAAACACAAACTGAGAGAGTTTGGAAAGGTAGAAAAGGAAATTACTTGTGCAAATATAAAAAAAAAGCATGATTGTAACTTTGGGTTGAAAATTTAGTTTTTACTCTTTTACAGGATTTAAAAGACAAAAACATAATCTATATTAATGGATACACAATATAATTTGTGACATCAATAACATCAAATGAGGGAAGGAGACAGTTGGAAAGTTGTAGAGTTTTGTATGTGATTCAAGTTAAGTTGCTATTGGTTTAAAATAGATTGTTAAAACTTTGGATCTTATATATCATGTTTACAGTAACCAGAGTAAGTATTTATAGAATATACAAAAAAGGAAATAATAGAATAAAAATGAGTCACTACAAAAAAAATCAACTAAGAACAAAGGAAGGCAATCATGGAGAAAATGAGGCACACAAAAAACTATAAGACACACAGAAAACAATAACATGGCAACAGTAAGTTCTTCCTTATCAGTAATTTCTTTAAGTGTAAATATAAGTTTAATATAAATGTAAATTAGTCTCCCTTATCAAAAGACATAGATTGGCAGAATGCATTTAAAAACCTAATCCAACTATTTCAGTTTTTATCCTAGAGGATAATGCTGGCCAAAAGAACATACCAAAGATGATGTGGAAGGGCAATTGGTATCTCTTAAAGCAATATTTTTTTGCTGGTACAAAAGGGATGGACAACATAAATAATAAAAACTGGGGTCATAAAAGTATATGAAATAAGAAATGGGATTGTGATTTTAATTCTCAACCTAAAGCACCAAGTCATGTCCTTCCTAAGACAAAAGGTATTAGAACTGGCAATGGTAGACATTAACTGGGCCATAAGGGATCTGTTCTGCCCTGACTCATTTCCTGTGACCTCAAACCTAACCAATTTTGATTGAGTGGGTGTGTGATTTTTGGATGGAGAGGCAGGGATTTCAATAGAGGTGTGAGACATTAGGGGATCCTGGCATGGTTAATTGTGTCAACTATGGCTCTAAATAGATGGTATCTGAAGTTCTTTCACCAAAATCTCAGTACCCCACATGCTTATATATGACAATCTATCTCTTGGACTGTCTCTGTGGGTATAAAACAGTAAATATTACTCAAAAAATGATAAGTACTTTCATTTTAGCTGGTGCAAGAAATAGTTACCTTGCACAAAGTACAACAGGATGACAACCTCTGTTGGCTGTCTATGGGTAGTGAGTCCCAATTGAAAGTTATGAAAATGGAGAGTAGGCATGAAGTAAACAGAAAGTAGTGCATTTGGACTTTCTGTGGGTGTCAGGCCCTTCATGACCCTTGAGATGTTCTTACCTAAGAGGATTTCTGGTTCTCAACTGCAGAAATCAACAACATGAAGGCTTCCCAGGAAGTGGTGATCTGAAAGGTCTTTGCAGATGTAATTAAGATAGGAATCTCAAAATGACAGCAGCCTGAATTAAGGTGGATTTTAAATTTAATGACAAATTTCCTTAAATAAATTTAAAAAAAAACGGAAAAGGAGAAGACAGAATTAGAGGGAAGAAGGCCATGTGAAGATGGAGGCAGAGATTTGAGTTATGCTGCCACAAGCTAAGGAAACCCCACAGCCACCAGAATCTGGAAGAAGCAAGAGAGACTTTCCCTTAGAGCCTTTAGATGGAGCATGGCACTGCTGGTACTGTGATTTTGGATTCTTGGCTTCCAGAATGTGAGAATTAATCTCTATTTTTTTAAGACATCTGCTTCATGGTACTTTGTTATGGCAGTCCTAGGAAACTAATACAGATTCTAGCATCTGGAATGATGGGTTGTGACAACAAATACCTAAAAATGTGGATGTAGCTCTGAAATTGGGAAATGGGTAGAAAATGGAAAAAATTGAAGGACATGACAGAAAAAGCCTAGGTGGTCTTGAAGAGACTGTTCGTGAAAATACAGTGCTTCTGGTGAGGTCTCAGAAATGAAGAGCATATTATTGGAAAATGTAGGAAAGGCAATCTTTGTTAGAAGATGTGAGAAAACTTGGCTGAATTATGTTTTGTTGGATGTAAAGTAGAATTTCTAAACAATGAATTTGCTTATTTTGCTGAGGAGATTTCCAAGCAGTGTTTCTCCTTGCTGTTTACAGTAAAAGGTGAGAAGAAAGAGTTAAATTGAAGATTGAATTGTTACTTCTCAGCATATTTAGGTTGCAAAAGATTTTAAGTGTGTTCTGGAAAAAGAGCTGCTTATGGTTGACCACCCTTTGCTCAAGACATTAGATGTGTGGCTAATGGATCCAATCAATTTCTCAGAAGATTCCAGAAATAAAGATGAGGTTATCCAGTAAATATCTGTAGAAAAACCCATTGTCTGATGGCATGGATTTCCTAGTCATACATGGAAGATTCACAAGGTTTTTAAGACGAGCGTTAGACTACTTTGGACTTATAACACTGCCAATTTGACTTGAAGATAACAAAGGAGGCACAAAGTGAAGGAAGGCTGTCAGACTTCTAGGATTCTAAAGGTAGGAAACATGATGATAGAGCTACTTGGCTGCTAATATGGGTCATTCCTCAAGAAAAATATAGAATGATTATGAGGGCAAAGACACAGATATAGAGGCAGAGTCCAGAGAACGCAGGGCAACTGTGATGGGCCCAGAGAATAGAGCCTCAAGCCACAGAGGATTATTCCAGGCTGTTGAAACCTATCAGAATTTACTTTCCGGGAATTTCAAATTTACTTGGGAGTAATGAATTTTTTTTCAATCCTTTCAAGTTCTCCCTTTCAAAATGAGAATGTATATCAGATGAATTTACCACCATTTATTTTGAAAGCAAATAACTTGTTTTCAAGTTTTATAGGTCCAAGATGGAGAAAAATTTTACCCAACTTAAGTCTCACCCACACCTGATTTAGATGATGAGATTTGGAACTTTTAAAATTAATATTTATGGACTCCTGGGTGGCTCAGTGGTTGAACGTCTACATGCCTTTGGCCCAGGATGTGATCCTGGAGTTCCTGGATGGAGTCCCACATTGGGTTCCCTGTGAGGAGCCTGTTTCTCCCTCTGCCTATGTCTCTTCCTTGTCTCTGTGTCTCTCATTAATAGATAAATAAAATCTTCTAAAAATTGATATTTAGATGAGATGTGGCCATGGTATGATGGAAGCAGAGATATGAGTTATGTTGTCACACAGGAAAAATCACCAGGAAAACCAGAAAGCTGGAAGAGGCAAGAAAGGATTCTTCCAAGAGCCTTCAAAGGAAAATGGCCCTTCTAGCACCGTAGTTTTGATTTTGGACATGCAGAATGGTGAGATGATCAACTTTTGAAATTTTAAATTTTAATTTATTTTATTGTAATGTTATGGCAGTCTTAGGAAACTAATACATCAGTACAGAAAACATGCATGATGCCATGCATTTACACACACACACACACATTTCTCTGATAATACAATCATTACCTTTCTTTTCTCACTTATTACCTTATCACAATATTTGCAGTTGTGATTTTGTAGATTATTATGCTTACAGAGCTTTTTATATATTTACTTGGGTATTCCTATTGATCTTATTAACAATTTTAGTATCAGTTTCCTTTCTCTCTACTTATGTCTTTATGTGTCAATGTCAGTAATATATGAAGACAAGTCTTTTCTCCTCAGGTTCTCTTGTGCTCTTTACTGCTGTTTTTCCCTAAATGGATTGTTGCTAAATTTGAATAGATTTGTATGCCTAAGAAGGAATACTGTTCTCTGCCTAAAGCTATTTGACTAATACACTAGGGGCACAGAAAAGCATCCCCAGGTATGACAGAGTGAGAGAGAACATGCCCCACTGTGGTAGCCACACAGCCACAGGGCACACACATAGCCTGGGCGTTAGAGAGGTCCAGTTTTTGAGCCTCTACCCTTACTGTTTTCCAAGAGTCACTGAGCCTCTTTGACTCTCCTTTTCTTTCTCTGTGGACCAGTGATCAAAATACAGGCCTCGAATGGATTTTTCATAGATTCAACATAACATGCTATGTCACTATTTATTAAGAAGAGAATCAAGGATCCTGAGTGGGAAAATCCTGAGACACAACTGGTCTTTGAGCGGATTAGTGTCAGTTAAACGTTGGCTTCCCAGCCCCAAGCAAACCTCCCACTCAGTCAACTAACTCAGGCTACAGAAAAAAGACAACAAAGATGATGAAGATGAAGATGACTACATCCAAGAGTTTCTTGTCAGGGCTGCGTTCTCAGGATCCTGGATGAGCCTGGGTGAGGGCCTCCTTTGGGATTGTGTGCTTGGCCTGGAGGGAAGTGAAGAGAAGGAGTTGGGAGATCAGCAGAGCCAGGAGCCCTGAGTTTCATCCCCAGGCCACCCAGTTTCGGCTCATTTGGCCTGAATTCCTCAGCCTCACCTTGGGCCAAGTGAGAACCTCCGTAGTCCCACTGGCTGTCATGAAGTTACCTAGTGTGGAGAAAGCATAGGTGATATCCATTAAAACTAAAGCAGACACAATCTAACTGCACAGTACCATTTCCCAACCTATGCAAAAGAAACATGCCACCACATTTATCACAATGTAGGCAATGGAATGAACCCTGTGGCACAGTGAGCACTGGGAAAAACTCCTGAAACCAAAATGTTTGTCAATAAAGGCACAGGTCCATGGATTTAGGAAAGTAAAACAACAAACAAAATGAAGCTAGCTAGGAAGGAAGGAAGGAAGGAAGGAAGGAAGGAAGGAAGGAAGGAAGAGCTCAGCTTATAAGTAATGAAAGGATAATGTTCAGGGTGATAATTAGTGAAATAAATGAGCAAAACAAATTACCTGCAAGTTGACATGATTCAATCTTGGTTCCTCCCAGCTCCCTCCTATCCCCATGCACCCCCAACACTCACTTCTGAAGCCACTGGAGATTCATCCCAGACTGAGTGGAGAAAGTCTGTACCACTTCCTGCTGCTTCTGGCAGAGGGTGGGCCAGGAACTGCAGGAGCGTGCGGGCACTGGGATAGAGAATGTGCTCTGAGTTTCCTTGGGGCTGGCGTCCCTCACAAACAGGTCATCATTCATGATGCACAGGCTGAAGGAAAAAAAATGGGACCTTAGAAACTGGACAGATAGACAACCCCACACCCCAACAACGATCCTGCTCCCACTGCCACTCAGAAACCAGATTCTTTCCATACCCCTACTGGGCACGCCACCCAGGTTCCTTGGCCGGTACCTCTATTTTTCCTTCACCCCTCAGAGAGCCAACCTTTAGAGAGATTGTCTAACCAATTTCACTACATTTATAGGTTTATCCCCAAACCACGGACAATTTTACGTCCATATTTACCGAACACACCTGCCAAGGAGTGGACGGTCTAATCTCCATTTTCAGAGGAAGACACTGTGTCACAAAGAGATCATGTGACTTGGCAAAGGTCACAAAGCTAGTGAGTGTGGGGATCAGGGAAAGAACCCATAATCTGATTTCAGAGCCAATGCTCTTAATCACTAGGAGACATGATTCCCTGGATGTACCTGATGGTTTTTCACAATATTGAGAACACCCCAAAGACTGTACCTCCCCATTCCCATACCCCCGAACTCATACTGAACTGGGTGTTACACCCACAACAAAGCACTCACCTGTAATTGCTGACAGGGGTAGCGATGAAGGTCCGGGTGAAGGTGCGAACAGAATCCTGAGACATTCCTTCCACTTCAGCAACACACAACAATACCCCCTTAGCATCCCACATGTTTACATACTCACACAGCATTCCCCAGTCAGGGTCTGAGTTGATATTCATGCTGAAGGGGACACTTGTTCCCTGGGGAGTCAAGGTGTTCTGGATGGGGAAGGCAATCTATTCCCTGTGACAGGGACTCTACCAGTGACAGGGACCCTATCAAGTGCATTTGATGCACTTTTCACAGCTGCTCAAGAGATAGGCATCATTAGCTCCATTAGCAAATGAGGAAACTTATAGGTTAAGAGCCCAAGGTCACAGAGTAAGGATCTAGGATGAGAGCCGTCAAACTCCACAGACCGTGTCCCTAATGCCCAGACTATGTGGGGCAGACAGGCACAGACCTAGTTCAGACCGGGATGATTTGAGGGCAGAGTGGAGATGGGAGAACATAGGAGGAATAGGAAGGGGAGGGAAGGCACCAGAAAAGCTGGGAGAGTTCTGAGAGGGAGCCCAGCTAGCAGTGGGGAGAGCAGTGGGGGCGTCTGGGGAGGAGGTTCTACACACACGCACCTTCCTTGAATACCCCATTGACGGAGAAGCAGATCATCATCTCCTGAAAGAGAAGAGCCCAGGTGCTAAGTCACCTAAACTTTCTACCCACCTGTGGCTTTCTGGGGTTGCCCGAGGGAGGAGACTGATGCTCACCGTCTGGAACCACATGTCCACCACGAAGAAGCTGAGGTCATGCTGAGTTTTGGGCAGCACACAGAGGGAGCGCACGATGTCACACTTTGTATGCTTCAGCAGCTGAACACGCAGGGCTATGAAGAGAGGAGAAAGGAGCAAAGGTCAGGGGTTGCCACACCCGGGACCCTATAATTATCTCCTCACACCCCCTTTCCCTGTCCAGTATTCCCCATCACACACGCACAGGGGTCCTTAAGTTTCTTCAAATTCCTGCTCTCCTTGAAGTATTCACACAAGCTGCTTCTAGGAGAGAAAAGGGAACAAGAGGTGGTGGTCTGGCCAGTGTGAGTGTTTCCAGGAGCTGCCCTGTGTCTGCTGGGGAGCCACAGGGCCCAGGAGCAGAGTCTGAGTTTTGCTACTCACAGGGCTGGGTCCTTGGGGTTGAAGGGAGTGGTCAGGGAGAAGCAGGCCTCATCGTGGTAGGCACTGAGGAGACCCTGACGGTCTCCAGAGTCGTCGATCAAGTAGTACCTGCGGGGGGATGGAGGGTGGCAATGAGGATAGTCTATCTCTGTGGTCTAGACCCCAAATGAGATTTCAAGACCCAGTCAGCAGTCCTGAGCTTGGGTGACCTCACCCATCCTAGCCATCCCCTTCCCCAGATTCCCAGGAGTACTTACTGCAGTAGGAATTGCAGGATTAGACTCTTCAGTGCATCAGATCCAAAGAAGCTTCCCTGAAATCACAATGGTCCTCAGGACCATGGCTGAGACCCCTTCCTCACGCACCACCCAAAACCCTGCTTGATCCACCCTTCTCACCTTGCAGGTTGGTAACTTCTTGTGAGCTGCAATACCAATGCTGGTTGGTGAAGGCGACTCCTGGCTATCCTGGGAAAAGGAAAAGAGGAAGTGGGCAGTGTAGACCAGGAGCTGGTACTGGACAATCAGGGAAAGGATGGGCCCCAGAGAGGGTGAGGGTCAGAGGCCAGGTGTAAAATGGCCCTTGAAATTACATGGGCAAGACTACATTTGGGATCGTCGTCTTGAGGTCCCTGATGCCTGTGGAGAACGTGGTTGAAGGAGATCTGGAGCCCTTGTTGGGTTCCCACGCGAATCTGTACCTCCATGAGGTCTAAGGGTCATGAAAATTGTAACTTCTGCAAGACCTAAATGGCTTCAGGGCAGGTTGTGGGAAGCATCGGTGCCAGTAGAGAAGTCGATGATCAAGGAATACACCTACCAGGCATAATAACTTGGGAAACAATTCCAGGATGGAGCTGCATAAATCCAGACAAAATAGAAAAGTTAGTGAAACTTTCTTTGCAAGTGTCCTTCGTCATAGGAGCAAGCACACTTACACCTGACTCACAGCCCAGTATGTCCCACCTACACCACAGTGTCCCAGCCTTCCGGGGCCCTTGGCACCTCCACTGTGGATTGACCTATAGGGAAAGCATACACTCTCTTCCCCTCCTCTCTGATTCCATTTCTCCACCCCACCCCCTCCTCCCTCTCTTTCCCCCTGGGCGGCTCCCACCTAGACTGCCCTGACTCCCTTCTCCAGTGCCACCAGAAGCAACATTTGGAGCTCAGGCTCCAGGGCTGAATTCCCCTCCCTGCCTCCCTTCTTTCCTTCAGATCCCTACCGAAGACTCCAGAGAGAAGAGGGAATGGGGTGGGCGCCCAGGACTCTGCTACCTCACTAGGGGTCCAGCATTCTGCAGCACTATGACCCCCACCACCACCACCACCGCCAAGGGATGGCCCAGGATGCTGGGGCATGGGAGTGAGTGAGGCAAGAGCCAGGAGGCAGGGAGGGAGAGGGAGGGAGATAAAGACAGAAGAGGGGGGAGAAGGTAGGAGGAGAAAGGCGAGAGAGACATAGGAGAACCAGAGACTAAGAGGAAGAGAAAGCAAAACAAAGGGAAGGGAAAGAAGCTCTACCATGGTGGCGGGGGTCAGGAAGGAAGAGAGAAGGAGGAAATGGCCCCATGGCTGCAGCCTTTTCCTTCATCCGCCCTGGCTGGCCCTAGCACCCAAGGTAGGAATGGAAAACATGCAGGTGTTGGGCTGGGGGCCCATTGGATGCTGGTTGAAACTTTGTCACCTGTGTGAGCTCAATCCAAGCTGGGCATGGGGAACAAGGCAACCATAGGGGCAGGAGACCTGTCCCAGAAGGAGTAGAAGGTCAAGCCCCAGGTCAGCATGGCTGAGGTTCTGTGGCCTCCTCTTATGATCCCTGCTTTCCCTCCTGATGGCCCCTGTGCACCTGTGCCTGTCTCAGTTGGTTCCTAGCCTGAGGGATTATATCAATGTCGGGATCCCCAGGGCTCCTCTGAAGGACCAGTCGGGTTGATGAGATGTGTGGAAGGAGGGGAGGGGGAAGTGCCTCTGAGAGGCCTGTCTTTCATTATGCTCAAGCACTTCTGCCCTCTGCCTTCCATCCCTGCTTCAGGAAAGCCCTCAGCTCACTGGCAGTCACCCACTTCTGGCCCCCTGACTCAGGGAACCCTGGTGTCTCCCAGGGAGGGCCCAGATCTTGGCTTTGGGCCAGAGGAACAGGACCTCAGGGAAGAGCTCCCCAGGACCTCAGCCTTCAGCATAGGGCAGGAAAGCCATCATGGCTGCGTGGGATTGGGCGGGTTGGGGGGGGGTGCGGGCAATACATTTGGTTCAAGGAAAGGAGGCTCCCTCTCAAAACAAGGGAGGGAAACGCTGTCTCAGGAGGGAATTGGAAGGCCTGTCTCAGCATGAGGCTCTGGGCTAGAGGGCCCTTCTCTGTCCAGGTCACAGCATGTGGTTCAAGGTGGTCATTCTGGTCCTAGTGAGGAAGGGGAGCCCTGCTTCATGGATCACACTTTGCAGAGGGCACGCTAGAGAAAACTGTGTGCAGATAGCCTGCAAACAGATCCCAGACCAGACAAACAGGTGAGCAGGTCAGAAGAAGGGAAGGAGACCTCTAAGCACAGGTGAGGGACAGAGGGAGGAGAGCATAGGGCCTCTGGTCCCCCCCCCAAAGGAACAGAGCTGCTGCCTCCTCCAAACAGGCACCATAAGGCATAGTTCAGAGTCCCATGGGGTGACATAGTGTACAACTGACCTTATGTTGGTTGATTTATCAGGAAAGGCGGTGCACAGGGAGCTTCTGTTGGCACTCATCTCTTCTGGCTGCAGGCTTTTGCTCTTGTCCAACTCCCCTGCGGACTTCACCTATAATTATAGGGAGGAAACAAATGGAGCAGAGAAAGATGGCCAGGAAGATCCTGCACCCGCAACCCTTCCCTTTTCCAACAAGTCCACTTCCTGACTCTTGTCACCACTCCGTGAGCACTCCTGCCTTCCTTTCAAAGAGGGATCTGGGTACCACACCTCACCTCACTGTTCAAGGGCTTGATACTGGAGGCATTCTGCATAATGCTGGATGGGCCATCCCACTGGTAAGGCTTCTTGTCGCTTCGGTTCAAGGGCAAAAGCTATGATGAGGAAAAAGTTAGAGTGAGGACCCCAACGGGGAATATCTGGGGCCAATGTGCCTCTTCTACCTAACCTCTCCCACTTCACCATCAGTCTCAGCACTGGGCCTGAGTCCTCACCTTGGAAATGTTCTTTCCATGGGTCTGCAGGGAGGCAGCCATGCTGTTTCTAGGATTCAGTACCATTGCAATATCATGGGTGATCAAGTCTCCGAGAAGCCCAGAGGAGGCAATCAGAAGGCTGAGGAGAGGCCCGGCTGGTACAGCTCTAGCTCCAACCCCTCCCCACGTTACCATCCCTATGTCTCCTTCCCAGACGGACCCCTCTGCCCTCACATGCCCTAGAATTACTGCTGTGGGCATACCAGAGGCATAGGGGACTCTCTGGCTCTTAAGAGGGTTCTGGGAAACTACGTATCATTTGTTCATGGTCAGCTGCAGAGTTAAGGATGGGGTCAGTGGCTCTGAGTTTGAAGTGGAGATGGGGGGGGGCAGTAGGTGTGGGAAGAAGATGTGGGTCTGGATGTGGATGCACAACTAGTCTTGAGTCTGCATTACCTTTGTCTGCTCCACCTTTTCTGACATCAGCTCCTTCTGCACAGAGTGGGGTGCATCAGAGGGGTAGACAAAGACAGAGACCTGTAGGGAACACAAGAGGGGCTGGGTAAGTACCAGGAAACCTGAGCCTTGGGATCATGCAAGACCTTACCCCTCTCTTGCCCTCCTGCCCCCAACTAGCCACAGTCATGCCCTTGGCACGCACCCTTTCATTATTCTCATCCCAGATCTTCCCGTTGACACTCTTCAATGCAAAGGCAATGCTGGCATGCTCAACAAAGAACTGGGCCTGCATTTTCTCATAGTGAAACTATAGGGAGAATGGCAAGAGAAAGATAATATGAGACCCAAGACACTGCTCATCTGCCCTGTTTCTTCTCATCTGCCTCACTGTCTTCTCTTACTTCAACTGGGGTGAAGGGGACACTGCATTGTCCCTGAATCAGATTCAGCAGCCACGTCTCTTCATATTTGATGCCAAATGGAATCTAGGAGGCAGAGATGGGAGAAGAGATTGACACAATGGAGTCCAAGGTTAAGAGAAGGTTAGGGAAGACCATTGTCTTCGTCTCATACATTTTTTTGGGGGGCGGGGGGCTTTAAAATAATTTCTTCTGATAGGACATTATCCATTATTGCAAACGTTTGTACCAGACATGGATTTCCTTTCCATTCAAACGCTTCTCTTCAAATAATCAACTTAAGATGTTTAACATGTACTTCCTTTTATAAAGTTCCAAGTGATCCTAGCTCAGGGCAGGGTGCCTTAGCCTGCCTCTCCAACGGGGACACCAGAGACTCAACCTCCCCCCACATTCAGCTAGAGCTAAACTGAGCCTTCCGGTGTGGAGTTGCTCCATCTCCCTGGCTGTAGTCTCCTCTGCTCTTAGACAACCTACCGGATTCTCCCTGTAGTCCCTTTATATTGCTTCTCTGAGTCTGCCCTTACTTGATCTAGGATGTTAACTCCTGTTAATAAAAAGACTGCTTACCCACTCTTCTGCCCCAGAAAAGTACCCAGCATATCTACATGAGTCCAACACAATTTCCTCTGTTCACCTTCTTCTGCATATTAGGCCCCTTTTGCCAAGACACTCACTATGATCTTGAACCAGCTCCCCGAGGTCTCATCCTGCCTCTCCCCCTCCATTTTTCTCTCTGGAGGCTTTTGCTCTCCCTCCATGTTAGCTTGGACTTGGTCTTGTTTCTGAAAATTGCCTCTCCAATGACATGGTGGAATGGCATAGGGAGTGCTGTGGGCAAGTGGAGAGAAGAAAGTAGTCCACATGTGCTCAGAAAGTCTTCTATTACACATTTTCCCACTGATCCCAGGGTACAATAAAGTTTGCTCAATCATTATCCTGATTCTATCATTCTTCACTCTTCCAGGTTGGAGAAGAGACTGACGTATTCAACTACAAGGCTATGTATTCCACTGGCTGGTACATTTCAGCTATGCTGACTGGTCACTTACTATCTTACTCGGGTGCTCATGTGAGTGCCATTTGTTGCTGGATCTCCATCTTGCTGCTGGTGGGATGAAGGACGAATGCCAGAACTGACTTGTTCAGACCAGTTGTTATATCTCCTTCGGTAAATACTCCAGCATCTTGCTCTTCTTTGCAAGGAGTTACCTACGTTATTATGCCCTGAAATTGAGAACAACACGTCAGTGGTCCCAAATGCCACAAAAGGTTCTGGGGAAATACCATGGCTAATGAAGAAATATCACTGACTTTTATCATCCAAAAACAAAATAGGGCACAGTGCCAAAAAGGTTGAAAAACTTCACTGCGGTTCCCTTTCCTGGGAGGATGAGACGTGGGGAGCATTTGCAGCCATGAAGAAATAGAGCACAGAGGAAAGGGGTTGGGCCTGGGGTTTCATCTGTGATGTTAGCCCCCTGCTCTGCCCTTTTCAGGCTAGGTGACCTGGGACAAGTTGCCTAGCACCTCTAATTCACAGTTCCCTCCTCTGCCTTGGGGGATAACAAAGTCCACCCTGAAAGTTTGGTGTTATGGTTCAAGGGTCAAGGGTGAGTTCCCACCTGAAGAAAGAATTAGAGAAGTGAAAGTTAGATTTAATGAAAATATCCAGAATAGCCTGGAGAGACATCATATGGATAATACCAGAAGAGAGAGGAGAGAATTAAATGAGATGTAGTGGGCATATCTAACACATGCTTCATTTGAGTCCCAGAATGAAGGAGAGGGAAACGTGGAGAAGTGGCATTTGAAGAGATCTTGCTTGAGAACCTTCCCAAAGTAACGGGATAATCAAGTCAGTATAACAATACTAAGAGGAGACAAAGTATGCTTTAAGGAAAAACATTCCTAAAGAAAAGATGTACATTTCACAATGATGTTAATGTAGCAAAACTGGGAAAATTTGTCACCAGAAGACTCAGACTAAAAGAAATATTAAAGGTTCTCCTTCAGGCAGAAGAAATATGATCCCACGTGGAGGCACAGAGATGCAGGAAAGAAAGACTAATGAATGGCATTTGTGAATACGTAGGCAAGTCTAAATGAGTATCGACTATATAGCACCATGAGGCTAATTTCTTCTAGGGGTTTAAATACACGTAGAATTAAAATTCATGGCAATACCTTGGGAGGGTGTGAGTGGAATCAAAGTGTTTCAACGTTCCTTCACTGTCTGAATGAAGAGCTTTAAAGAAGTAATTTACATCAGACCGTGAAAAGGCAAAAAAGTACATTATGGTATTAAGGGTAAATACTATGAGAATGTTTAACTGTCCAACCAAATAAGGTAACAATTTAATACTAATATAGGGGTGCCTGCCTGGGTGGCTTAGTTGGTTAAGTGGTCCAATTTTTTTAAAAGATTTTATTATTTATTCATGAGAGAGAGAGAGAGAGAGACAGAGACAGAGACAGAGAGACAGAGAGAAAGAGGAGGGGTGAGGGGAGGGGCAGAGTGAGAAGGAAAGGGAGATCATCTCGAGCAGAGTCCACGCTGAGCATGGAACCCAAGGCGGGGCTCTCTCTCACAACCCTGATATCATGACCCCAAGATCAAGATGTGAGCTGCAACCAAGAGTCGTGGCTTAACTGACTGAGCCACCCAGGTGCCCCAAGGGTGCGACTCTTGATTTTGGCTCAGGTCATGACCTCAGAGAGAGCCGTTCTCTCTCTCTCTCCCTCTCCCCTGCCCCTCCCCACCTCTCTTTCCCTCTAAAAAAATACTAAATAATTTCAAGGAAAGGAGAGGAAAAGGGCCTTACAACAGGCAGAAATAAATGTGCAGTTAACACGCTGTATAGAAATCAAGTTATACCTATATTTACATTAAAAGTTTCAGACTGGATATTCCAAATAGAAAACCAGATATTATGAACCTAGAAAAAAAAATTCCATCAAATGCTCCTTAAAAGAGACACATGCAAAGTTTAATTGTCTAGAAAATTTGAAAATAAAACTAAAACAAGGCAAAATGTGTACCATTTACACACTAACGTACTGCAAGCTGGTGTAACCATATTACTAAAGGGAAAGGTATTAATTCAAGGGGGAAAAACACTGCTAAAGAAAAGAGGGATGTTTCATTATTATAAAAGTTTCAATGTAAAAAGGAGCCATTAGTACAAAATTCTAAATTTGTGTGCGTGTCTTAACACAGAGCCAAAACGTGCAAAGCAAGTGATCACAGTAAAAGGAGAAATGGATAAATTCACCATTACAGTGGGAAACATTAACACACCTCCTTGAGTGACCTATAAAATGGCAGACATAAATTCCACTAGGTGGAGATTTTAAAATGAGAATTAAGTAAACTAACAAATTTACTTAATTGGCGTGGAACAGGGCACATAACCACTACACGTGGAACATTCCAGAAGAGGTCATATGCTGGGTTATAAAACAAACCTCAAGAAACTTCTATGGGGGTAATACAGTCTACCCTGAATAGTTGATGTAAGAGTCAAGGGTAATGGTGGGTGCTCTGCCTGTCCCCAGCCTCTAGCAGGCATCCAGAGAATGTTAATTTATACCAACACCCCCTCCCATTTGCCTCCTACCTCACCAACCTAGGAGACCCTCCCCACTCTCCAAACTCTGGACCTGTGAAGACCACATAAATCAGGTCTATCCCCTCAACCAGTGAAGAAAATTCACCTCACCCATGACCACTTCCATAGGAGGGGAAGTTTTCCATGTGGAATGGAACCAGGATGGGAACGTCAGGGCCCACTTAGCCCATTTCAAGAGAGTGGAGAATAGTCAGCCTGGGCCACTCCACCCTTCCTCTAAAAGGGGGTTGGCTGGGTGTCCTGTGGGGTGATGTGGTTTGGGAAGGGGCCCAGAACCCCTCATACCCTCTGGGGATCTGAGACCAAGGCCTCATGCTGACCAACTTACCCATGGTGTGGACTGAGGCAGTGATCCGTCACCAATGTCCTCCCGGTTTGCTTGTGAAGAGAGTCCGTGGGGTCTGGAGCTGGAGGTTTGGAGATCAACGATGGCTGCTGAGGAAGGGGAAGGGAGGTCCCGAACCCCTTTGTCAGCGCCACACAAGCAAGATGGAGTCCTTACGGGAAGTCCCTTCCTCAAAGGCATGGAGAAAACCTCAGGCGCCCGAGGCGACTTTACTTCTTATAATTACTGTCCCCTGAGTTTGCTACCAGCCTACCAGGGAACTGTTTCCAACTGAATCTGCCCTGCAGAAAAGGCCAACTAGAGTCAGGAGGGGTGGGACCGGACCCAGGTACTTATAGCTACAAACACAGGGGACTCTGTATGCCAGACTCTGTATCCACTGCAATACATCTTGTTCCCTCATTCTGTGAACCCAGAGAACTCTGAGTGCCAGCTGTAGGGCAGACTCTGGACTTGTTACATTGCATCTGCTCTGTCATGTATTCCTTAACAAGGGGACTCTGATATCGCAGTCACCAGCTTTTCGAGGTTTCTTGAGGTTTAATGAGGTGCCAGAGCTTGTTTGGGGTCATTCAGATGCTACTTGGAGAAACAGAGCTGCAACTCAGCTCCACAGAATGGCGGTGACATGTCCATGCATACGTAGCCTAGCTAAATTCTTGCTTCAATATTGGGATTTTTTTTTTTAAGTTAGAGCAAAATGACAGAATATTCTGAAAATAATTACATGGCTGGCATCGTCTCCACCTCATTCCAGAGAGATAATAGCAAGCAAACACACACACACACACACACACACACACACACACACACCAGCCAAAACCAAAACCAAAACCATAAAGCAAAACACACACATAGCAAACCTGGAAACTATAAAGGAGATAGCAAACAGAGTTTGGTGGGTCACTGTAATGAGAGTAGAATGAAACAAATTGTGCCTTTTCCTTTACAAAAAAAAAAAAAAATACAGTCAGTGTAGTGGTCAGAGCCAGAACTGTAGCTCTGAAAGTCTCTGACTAGAGGGCTTTGCAAGGCAGAAAGAAGGAGGGAGGCGCTCGGGCTCCGGTGCATTAGCCAGAACTTTCCAGAATTTTCCACTACCTTTGGAATGTTCTACTCTTTGTCCACAATCCCTTTCTGGATCTCCATGCCCTGAGAGAGAAAATTCAGTCCCTGGGAGAGGTGAACAAAACTCTGCACAGGAGAGCGTGAACATTTGGGGTAAGGGAAGGGTAAGACAGAAACACACACATATACAGATAAACTGTCAAATCAAAAGCTGAAGTTTGTATTTGTTTATTAAGCAGTATCATGGGAACATTTTCATAACATGGTAAATACATGTGAACTTTTCTTGTGAATTGGTTATTAGATATTTTCAAGTGTTCCCCTCAACAAATTTGCCTAATTGCAAAATGCTAAACATTAAAAATGTATACTTAGAAAATGAAATCATTCTGCACCTTCCATCTATATGATCCCCTCACTCCAACTCACAGGTATCCAAGATATCCGACGTAAATAGATTGGTGCACATTTTCCAGAGGTGTTTCTGTTTAGGTAGTGTGTACACCTACCTTAAAATATTTGTGTACTTACGTGGCTACAGATACATACTTTTAAAAATTTGCAATCACATAAATAATTTTCTGCAAATTGATTTTTTCACTTACTTATTACAACGTCTCCAGATTGCCATTTCTTCAGTTGATGCAGTGTGGCATCTTTCCAGACGTTTACTGGAGAAGCATTTTGCTTTTTACGTAAATTATTTGTTATCATTTGTCCCTTTCTCCACTGATAAACAAAAGTCCTTCATTTTCTAGCCCACTAGCACAAATTCTGTAATATTGTTTGCAAATATTCATTCCTACCTTTTCAAGCTTTTAACTTTTTTTCTTTTGGTAGTACAGACATTGCTTTAGCTTTCATGGTTTTTCTTCATTTAAAAATAATATAGCTATGACAGAAAACAAAACAAAAAATACTTAGGGTTGCATCAAGTACTAGCCCAATGGGAATTCTTCATTCAAAGCATTGAAGGCTTCAGGGCACAATGGAAAAAGGCCTCACACCTAATTCTACATGTGTAAATAATGGGGAAAATAACTGAATACTTGTCAGGTTATTCGAGATACCATGTAGGGAGCCTCTGGCTTAAAATAATTCTGTAAATGATCATTTCCTTCCCTCCGTGGAGGTTACTTTTCCTCTGCTTCTGCTTGGGCCCCACACACCACCCCAGCACAGTGTTATCCATGTGGACCTCTCTCCAGGCCTCCAGGCCTGAGGAATGGGATTTCACCTCCACCATCATCTTCAAGACAAAGACATTGGGGAAAAGACTGCTTGAGTGCCCTGTTAGCAGGACAGGAACACCTGGGGCATTCAAAACCAGATATGTGACCCAAGAAAAATTTTGAGCCCTGTTACAAACTTTATTGAACAAATTAAAGGGAAGTTAAATAAAAAAACAAAAACAAAAAAAACCTTCTCAATCCCAAACAGAAAGGTCACATGTAAAGAAATGCAAATTTAGGGGGAAAATGCATGGAATGTGTTTTAAAGGCAAATGTTTAATATTGTTGTATAAACAAATCTGATTGATAGAAGAATGCGGTTCAAAGTCCATTGAAATAATTCAAATGAGCACCATACATTACAAACATAAGATTAAACATGTACGAAAACAATTACACATGGGTGTATGTATGTTTGTGTGTGCATATATTTCCATATACGCATATACATAAATACACGTACAAAACATATGGAGAACAGTATATTGCGATCAAAATTTGGAATGATATATATGTTCACGTAAATATACTTATATATTACTGTACACAGGGAAGTATATCTGGGGAATATAAACAAAATTACCAAGGAAATACATCTTGCTGTGTAACAAGATAAAAAATGCATACAAAAGTATTTTTTCCAGTAAATACACATTCCTATGCTGCATTTGATTTTGAAATAAATACATTAACTTGACATCCAAAGAATAACTGATAAAAGATTTCATAGTATTGTAGTTAGTATATACCTGGTTGGAAATTTTATTACAAAAATCATGTGCATGTATGTGGCTTAACTGTATATATCTAAATCTATTTTCTTTTTCCACATTACTTTTGTCTCTCAATCACAAACACATCAGTTTCCTGTCATAGTCAGGAGGGAGGGCCTGGAGAAAAGTTCTTGCTACTGGATTTAATGTATGTGGGTTCTGACTCACCCTTAATATTTCACTTTCCGCAAAATCTTCCAGAAGTTTCCCTCTGATCGGGACCTTATCCCTTTCTCCTCCCAAGGCTCCCTGCTAAGTGATATCCAAGCTGCCATTCTAGATGTGTTCATCAGATGGCACGGACCTCCAATTCCTGAATTTTCCCCAGTGAAAAATATTATCTGGGAAAAGGAGAGAAGAATTGACAAAAAGTTAAAATTTGCACTGTGGGTGATGAAACAGCATGTAATATAAAATCATGCTCAAACTGCCTTACTTCATGATTTTCCTCTTTATGGTTTCACAGAGAGAAATCATAGTAATAATATCACACACCTCTTACAGGGCTGGTGGATATTATAGGCCTGAGGTGGGAGCAGAGAGGGCAGAAAGGGTTCAGAAACTTTCTACAATTGTCCTGTTAAGTATTACGAAGTTTTTCTCAGCATGCCAAACTGCTGTGTAAGGAGATTCCACACTGGATTTCCCAAGGGATGAACCAGGTTACAAGGTATTTCCTTCCTGCTGTATCTGGTTAGTCTCCACCCTCTCCTCTCCTGCTGGCTGATGCCTCCTTAGCTTCCAATCTCAGTTTAAGCATTCCCTTCCTGTGAGACGTCTCAGACACATCCTACTGGTTTGAATACCTTTAGGCATCTAGTAACTCCGTCACCCTTACCATCTCCAGATACACTTTTCATGTGAAAGGGGATGAAAGACCACGAGGTCAAACATTCTCATGGGCTGTGGCTTCTTCAGACAGTGGACTAAAGATTCTGAAGTTTTTAAAATATTTTACCTGACGATGTGCCACAGATTTGCTACTTCTACTTTTGAGGGAGATGTCCAGGACACAGGTCAGTTCAGAAATTGAACTGTAGAGTTGTTCCACAGAAAACAACTAGGGTGTGTACTTCAGAGAAGCTGTCGAGGCTGCAGTCTAATGCTTCCTTGTCTAAAAGATCCAATGAGAGTACTATAATGACAGTCTATGATTTTTAGGAGATATGGTTTTGCATGGTAGAGAACACATGAACCTTCCAGAATTAGAATTGTAAGTTAGAAAGTTGTTGTTTGTGGTGGCGGTGGTGATATTTTTTCAAATTGAAGCATAATTAACATATAGTATTATATTAGATTCATGTGTACAATATAATGATTCAACAATTCTGTACATTATTACTCAGTGCTTATCATAATATTGTCATTAAGTGAACCCTTAATGCCCTTTATGTATTTCACTCAACCCTCCACCCATCTCCTCTCTGGTAACCACCAATTTGTTCTCTTTATTTAAAAGTCTGTTTCGTTTCTTTCCTGTCCTTTTCTTTCTTTCTTTCTTTCTTTCTTTCTTTCTTTCTTTCTTTCTTTCTTCTTTCTTTCTTTCTTTCTTTTTCTTTCTGTCTCTTTTTGTCTCTAGTCATTTGTTTTGTTCCTTAAATTCTACCTATGAGTGAAATAATATGTTATAATATGTTATTTAGTAATATATTATAATTATATGTTATTTCTCTTTGTCTTTCTCTGACTGACTTATTTCACTTAACATTATATCCTCTAGGTCAGTCCATGTTGTTGCAAATGGCAAGATCTCATTCTTTTTTATGGTTGAGTGATATTCCATCACACACAAGCATACACACACACCATGGTATATACACCATATATACACCATATATTTTATATACATATCATACTGTGTATATATATATATATATATATATATATATATATATGATGTGTGGGTATATATA